GAATGAAAAATAGATAACACTGGTGAAATAGTTATTGAAATTTGCTTTTAAAAATTGTTAAGCAAATTAGATGTTTCCGCTTATGTCGTAAACCCCACTTGTTAGTAATATATATAAAATGTTGCTAGTGGTACGTGCTGGGCTGTTCTACTAATGTAAGGTGGGGTACACAAGACAAAATTTAGCCTTATACAAATTTAGAAAAACGATGACTTTATTGTGCAATCAACTCTAGAATCCATAAGGTTTAAATTTGTTTCTCTAAACATATTCCAGAAGTTCACCAACAATGTGTCGTAAACATTTGCAATAAGTCATGTTACAATCTGATGACACAGTTTAAAGGTCATAAATAAATCGAAAGTCTACAGACAGTTTATAGAAGTAATTATAAGCGAACGCTTACAGTTATCTTCCAAGTCACCAAACAAACCAGGCTTAATAGAGTTATACTTTTAAAGATTCTTTGAAAATATTCTCAGTCGGGAACACGGTAGTTATTCAAGAAGACATAGTGTCAATGGTGTTCTTTTATGAAAATCTAAGGAGAGAGGATAATATTATTTATTATTTTAGAATCAATCTTAGTCACAATTTCATTAAGTCTATCTATCTATCTATCTATCTATCTATCTATCATAATGAACTCTCCCGTCGGTTTTGACGTATGAGGATCTGACAACTTAATCAATTGATTCAGTCATGAATTTTTTGCGATAATCTTAACTGGCACTTAAGACCCGCTAGTGATTTACAAAGGAGGCCGCATTTGGAGCAAGAGTAAGGATTGTGGGATGAGATCACTGTTAGATTGGCTGACCTTTTAGATCTTGCTCTCGCTCCTTGAAGACGATTCAGATTAGCAGATTGAAAAGTGCTGGGTTCACTAAAACACGTGGATCTCTACTCTACCCGCTCCAAGGCTAAGCGATATATATATATATATATATATATATATATGTGTGTGTGTGTGTGTGTGTGTGTGAAAAGTGTATATAAATATAAATAAATATATATATATGTATAATTATTTATATATTATATGCGCGGTACTTATTAGAAAGCGCTCAATATCAGAGATAGAGAACATATTTGGTTGGATAGATGTGAGTTTGTGACCTGGGTTTCACAAACCCAAAGTTTGTCTGACGATCGCTAAAGCGTGAAACCCAGGGTCACAAACTCACATCTATCCAACCAAATATATATATATATATATATATATATATATATATATATATATATATAGAGAGAGAGAGAGAGAGAGAGAGACAGAGAGACAGAGAGAGAGACAGAGAGAGGAGACTATCGTTGTCTGTGTTTATGTTAATATTCATTGAGTGGAGCTTAATCTGACACGAGGTCATAAATGTAGAGCATCGACTTAGCAAGACTAGTTTACTCACCACATTTCTGCGACGCGTCATTTTGAAATTATTGCCAGGAGAAATACTGCTTGAATAGAACTAAAAATCGTCACACATATGGTTTTGGATCTATGTGTGGTTAAGCATATTTCCTTAAATTTTTACCGAAAAAGAAACAACTATATTATTTAATTCTGTATCTGACGAATAAACGGTTATCACTACCATAATAATCAGTTTGCTTCCCTTTTTATAAAGATAATTCTAATATATGCCATATACAAACTGCATTTAAATATAAAGATAACTAATTTTTTAAGCCTTAAATAATTTAAATAACTATAATTATTTTGAATGATGCCGTTCATATTGATTGATTGATTGATCAGATTAGTCAGCCTAATACATAATTTAGCCCAGTGTTAAAAATTCTAACAAATTGAAATCTCTGTATGAATTGAAAGCCGTTACCTGGCACGGCATAAACATTCAAGTCTCAATAAAGTGCAATGGAATGAGCAATTTCCTTCTGTCAGAATTGAGTCACTGTATTTCATGACACATAACACTCCGTCTACTTTCACTTTACAGCATTCACCGGCTATGGGTTAAATAGCAGGGTAGACTGATTTTTCTAGCCTTGGGTGGCAATCGGTCTCAGAGAAGAAAAAGTCTGAATTCAAATGTGTAGAAAAGGCAATGGGGAAAATCACTATTTTAGGATGTGCAGATAGCGTAACAGTTATCGTCGAAAGTAAAACCGGCGAGCCGAGTTCAAATTCAGGCCTAGTCTATTGCATTCACTTTCAAACTAACGCCATTGGAGAAGACACGGATCTACATGTTCTCCTTCAAGTTAGAGGTTAAATAGCAGAGTGGACTGGGTCCTTACGATTTAGCTGGCAACAAGAAAACGAACATTCAGTATTCAAAACCGTGGTAGAATGAACGGGGGAAACCACTCCATTTCTCAAGAGATCCTTATAATTCACAAATAATAATAAAAGGAGTGTCTGGAGAGTCATGATCAGCTAAATTCTGTCTTGGGTCTGACGATAAACTATATCCGGCAGCAAGACCTCTGATTGGGAGTTTGGAGTAGCGTGAAACTACCTCTTAATGCCCGTTGTTTCCGCATCCACCCTGACTCTCATCTCATTTTTATGATTGTATGCAACATCAAATTTGCAATATGACAAGGGACTATGTAAAAAACAAAAACAAACAAAAAAACAAACAAATTAACGGTTATTTTACCTGTGTAGAAAAAGGTATTTTCTGTTCAAGTGCGTCTTTCAAACAAGCCAATTGCTCACGGTAGCAATTTGTTCAGGTTCCATCAAGTTGCATTAAAGAATTTCCTTTAAAATTAACAAAATACTGACACTGTTCTGTTAGTAGTTTCGTTTAGACCAAGATTCTGAAGGCTATTGTCATTTTGAATTCCAGTAAGAAATTTACTTTTATTATCCGAAGAAATGCGAAGAAGAACATTGGGAAAATACAAGAACATTTGATTTTCTTGGCCAGAAAAAAAAAAGTAATTCAAAAAAGCCAGTTGCTCACTATAGTGATACGCAGTCTTTGGTTTCCATCAAGTTGTAATAAAGAATTCCCTGTGAGTTTTCCTAAACAGCGAGAAGAATATTGCAAAAATAAATGCATAACAGAAAAGTTGACTTTCTCAGCAAAACAACAATTATTTTCGGTTTCAATGCGTCATTCAAAGAAGCCACATCGTCAGCGTAGACTTTTTGAGGTAAAAGATTATCCAGTTAGGAAGCATTAATAAACATTTTCTTTGAATATCTCTCTACAGAGACAGTTTAACCCAGTGGAATCAGTTGAGATTGGAACGTTGAAATTTATCTGGAGTCTTGCTTCAATTTAATTATTTTGAGATTAAAAATATCAATTCACTCCAAACAAGGGAATAATGCCACTAAGAGGCAAGGCGCTATTGGAAGTCAAAGAGAAGACATTCGTTTGTCGAAAAATGAGTTTTACTATGTCGTACAAAAAAAAAAAAAAAAAAAAAAAAAAGAAAAGAAAAAGAAAAAGAAAAGGAAAAGAAAAAGAAAAAGATCTTTATAATATTTTTATCCAGTATGTCAGTTTATGTGGAAGTAATCTTTTTACTTCATCACTTTTTATCACTTTAAACGTTTGGATACTCGTAGTTAAGTAGACGCTCTGTTTATTTATTAAACAGTATATTATATTTATTTTTGTCTACCGGCCAGAATTTTCGAGAAATTTTACAAACCCCCCCCAAAAAAAACTAAGCTTTCCGGCAGGATTTGAACCTGCGCCACACCAGAGTAGAGGGAGCTACCGTTAAGCTCGATACGCTCTGACCAACTAAGCTATGGAGGACAGTCGGTCACAGGCGACAGGCGACAGGCGACCACATTCAAAACTTTTTCAAATCACGGCACTCTTGTTGCATAGGGTACCATGGAAACGGTTCCTAAGTAAGAAAATACTGAACAATTGCATTAATGTTCGTTTGGTCAGGTAGGCAACAAAAGATCTTCATAACCCGTCTCATGACCGGGTGCAGTTGTACGATCGCTGCACAAATGAGATATCTGACTACTTCGCTCCACATATCTGGGTTGAAATTGCCTGAGGGGTATTCACTAATGCATAGAGTATTTTGGACATGTAGACCAATCGATGTCGTCAAGAGGATCATCTTGGTCACGAACTCGTGACCGTTGATTCCATCGGGGCGGCAGGAAACTTCTTTCCTGGCCATTGACTTGTCAAGGAAAGCCTCCGCACACTAATGCCGTGTCATCACTGCACAGGCTGCGCACATGGCTATGGGGCCTATGTTTACCCAATCATTCCAACCACTTGAAGAAGGCCGGATCGTACAACAGCCGAGACGTTGTAATAAATATGGCGACAAAGATGAGGACAAGTGTTAGACAGCCGTTGACCCCACAAGAAGATTGTTCCGACCTTTGACAGGTCTTGTTTTGAATCCTGCTAGGTGTCTTGACAACCTCCACATCCGAAAAACTTGAAGGGAAAACCAGTTTAGTCGTTGCCGATCAAATAGTATCGGGTTGCATGATACTGGTAGGACTAGTAGAGTGACCTAATATAAAATAAAGATTACGGATCATTTTATTTCGATCCACCAAAAAATTCTATATTTCTTTTCTCGGTGAATAATTATAAGTAATAGTTGGATGGGTGAGTTTGCTGTTAACGACAATTACGAAAATCTTAGAGTAAAATCTTGGAAACAGTCAGACTCGTTTCCTGTTCAATGTTGATTTTTGCACGACACTTTCCTTTTGCCAAGAGCCTGCGTCGAAAACCCAGCAGAGATAAAAGAGAGTGATGATGACAAAAGTGAGGGAGAAAGGGTGTGAGAAAAAAGAGAGAGAAAGAGTGTGAGAGTAAAAAGAGGGAGAAAGAGTGTGAGAGAAAAAAGAGAGAGAAAGAGTGTGAGAGGAAAGAAAGACGTAGAGAAAGTACGTGTGAGAAAAAAAGAGTAAGAAAGTTTGTGAGAGAAAAAAAAGAGAGATAAAGAGTGTGAGAGTAAAAAGAGGGAGAAGGTCTGTGAGAGTAAAAAGAGGGAGAATGTCTGTGAGAAAAAATGAGGGAGGATATCTGTTAGAGAAAAAAGGGGGCAGAAAAGAAAGTCCGTGAAAGAAAAAATGAGGGAGAAAGAGTGCGAGAGATAAAGAACGAGAAAGGGAGAAAGAGAAAAAGGAGAAAGCGAGAGAGAAAGAAAAAGAAAGAAAAAACGGGAAAGAAAGAGAGAGAGAGAGAGCGATAGAGAAAAAGAAGGAGAAAGCAAGAGAGAGAAAATGTAGGAGAAAACGAAAGAGAGAGAAAAAGGAGGAGAAAATGGGAGAGAGAGAAAAAGGAGGAGAAAATGGGAGAGAGAGAGAAAAAGGAGAAAGTGAAATAGAGAAAAAGAGAAAGCGAAAGAGAGAATAAGAAGGAAAAAGGGAGAGTGAGAAAAAGGAGAAAGCGAGATAGAGAAAAAGAAGGAGAAACCAAGAGAGAGAGTGAGTGAGAGAGAGAGAGAGAGAAAGTAGGAGAAAGCGAGAGAGAAAGAGAAAAAGTAGAAGAATGCGAGAGAGAGAGAGAGAGGGAGAGGACCGAGGTAGCAAGAGAAAAAAAGAGGAAGAAAGAGAAAGAAAGAGAGAGAGACTGTGTCTGTCTGTGTGTTGAGGGCAGGGTGTGAGAGATTTCAATATCATTATTACCTTATAACTTTTGCAATGTTGATGAAGTAACCTTTAGTGTCACCAACGCAGCCGGTTCTGAAGCCAGAAAACAACGTGCGAAGAAAACGATTCCCGCGGTTTCATTTCCCTTTCTCTCTTTTCCCGCCAAATGGGATCACCTGCTTCGTTGTATTCAACGAACGAAATCAACCACTTCGATTAACGTACTTTCTTTTTCTTCCTGTCTCCATTTCCCTCTTATTTTTTCATTCTTATTCCGTTTGACTTTTATTTTTGCTCTCATTTCCTCATCATCGTCTTTCTTCCCTTAAACCGAATTTTGTATTACTAATTTTTTATTATGTATTGATTACTTCTCACTAATTATGTAATCTCTATGCAACCGATGGATTAATTCTCCTATCGATAGGAAAGTAGATCAGCTGAAAAAAGATATCGCACTTTTTGGTCAGAAAGAACACGCGGATACACAACCTTTCATAAATCTCTGATCATATGAATTTGTTGAAAATCTTGTAAAATTCATAGCATAAAAATATTTAATATAAGTTAAACCAAAAAATATTCCTTTAAATAACGAATCAATTGATTTTACAGAAATTCAAATTCAAACTTTTAATTAAAAACAAAACAAATATTTTCAAAGTCTGTCTATATTCCTGAGATGAGGTATTATGTACATTATTTACACAAGGACACATGGCATAGTGGATAAAGGCGTTGGTTAGATCCAGTGACAGACCCAAAGAATGTGAGTTCAATACCCGGTTAAGGCAGAGAAGAACCTTCAGGGGGAAATTAACAGGAGATAACTGATAACTGACATCCATCAAACATGGCACGTGGAACTAGAACAGTCTACCCCGGTGAGCGAAATAAAGGGTTCAGTTCGAAATTCCAACCACCTGAAGAAGGCCGGAGCGTACAACGGCCGAAACGTTGTGATAAATATGGCGACAAAGATGAGGACAATAGTCCGAATAATGTAAATATTTTCAACCTCAAATTATAGTTTTCTTTGTTCCTGCATCACCTAAGATAAATAATGGACCATTCCGTTTTCATTGCGAAGGAAAATATATCGTAAATGCTATTTTTTATTTACAATGATGTTCACCCTGTACAAGACCTGAGAACCACTTGAAGTAGAGTATTACAGGGGAAGAGGCATAGATTATACGAGCATGTACGGAAGGTAACGGTTAATCCAAGACTTGAACAGGTTACAATCGGAGTGATCGGAGAAGCAGCCTCCTGGGCGTCGGTTAAAGAAAGAAAGAAAGAAAGAGAGAGAGAGAGAGAGAGAGAGAGAAAGAAAGAGAAAAAGAAAGAAAGAGAAAAAGAGGGAGAAAGAAAGAGAAAAAGAGGGAGAAGAAAAGAGAAAAAGGATGAAAGAAAGAGAAAATGAGAGAAATAAAGAGAAAAAAGAGTGATCAAGAAAGTGAAAAGAAAGAGAAAGAGAAAAAGAGGGAGAGAGAGAGCGAAAGAAAGAAAAAGAGGGAGAAAGAAAGAAAGAGTAAAAGAGGGAGGAAGACAGAGAAAAGAGAGAAGTAAGAGAAAAAAGAGGGAGGAAGAAAGAGAAAGAGAAAAAGATTGAGAAAGAGAGAGAAAAATAGTGAGAAAGAAAGAGAAAGAAAGAAGACGAAAAAGAGAAAGAAAGAAAGAGAAATAGAGAAATAAGGAAAGAAAGAAAGAGAAAAGCGAGAAGAAGGAGAAAAAGGAGAGAAAGAAAGAAAGAAAGAAAGAGGAAGAGAGAGAGAGAGAGGGAGAGAGAGAGAAAGAAAGAAAGAGAGATAAAGGAAGAGAGAATCGATAACACACCCATGCGTTCAACGCCTACTTCAGTGAAATCGAAAACCTTGAATTTTGAATTTTTCATTTGTACCCTCATACTTCTTAAATAAATATGAATGCCAGGTCATTATTTAATGTCACTGGATCTAACCAATGCCTTTATCCACTGCGCCATGTGTCCTTAAGGATACATAGCACAGTGCCAGGACCCAAAGAGTGTGAGTTCAATGCCCGGTTAAAGCAGTGGAGAACTTTCAGAGGGAAATTAACAGGAGATAACTGATAACTGACATCCATTAAACATGGCACATGGAATTAGAACAGTCTACCCCAGTGAGCGAAATAAAGGGTTAAGTTCGACATTCCAACCACCTGAAGAAGGCCGGAGAGTAGAACGGTCGAAACGTTGTAATAAATGTGGCGACAAAGATGAGGACAATAGTCCGAATAGTGTGAATAATGTATAATCTATGTACGTATGTGAGAAACAATGAAATGTTATAGGTTTCTTTTTTCTTTCCAAAAACAAATGTAACTTGAATTTGGGCGGGTGGGTGATCGTTTGTGTAGAAGAGTCAGTACATGTGTGCGTGTTTTTAGTAGTAACGAGGGATACCAGAGATAGCTAGAATTTAGTTCTTACTATGAATTGTGTCGCCGTTGTTCGGGGCGGTTTCTTTGTAGTTTCACAGCGTGGTAGCTTTTTGTGTGTGGGCCTGATTTCTGTGCTTCTCATGTCAAAATTATGCACCCTGCCCCTCAATTGTTACACACACACAAAATACAATATATTTATATATCTATATCTATATCTATATCTATCTATATATATATAGTAATGTGGGTAAATCAAATAACTAGATATTAGCAACCGTATTTGCGTGCGTTAGTGTGCATACACAGGTAAGCAGATAAATATTTATTCAATTTAATTTAAGGTGTAAGTAAAACAGTGCTCAATGTGGTTAGATAAAGCTGAGAAGTATATATTAATAAATATCCATATACCAACATTCGAAGTGCAACTTAAAGTTTTGTGATTCTACCAACTCATCAGGCACGAATTTTTACTTTTGATTTAAAAAGTATATACTGGGTAGTATAAGTAGGGGTTTATCGAAACAAAAGGCAAGCTTAATGTTTCTATTAAACTGTAAGCTTGCCTTTTTTTTACAATAGTCCTTTACTTATATTCAACAGTCTGTATTTACACCCCATTATTATATTAAGTTTATATTAAATTTGAGCTTTGATTCTGCGTTTAATTTAGCGTCCCCAATTAGACCCAATGTATATTTTTTTTAAACCAAAAGTTGTAATTTGTGCTTGATGAGTTGGTAGAATAACGAAACTTTAAGTTGCACTTCAAGCGTAGGTATATGTATATTTACTAATATGTATATATATATATATATATATATATATATATATATATATATATATATAGGACTCTTCCGTCGTATTCGACGTATGAGGTTCAGCAACTTAGTTCCTAGGAACCAACAGCCAGATATATGATTTCATTATAGTGGTGAAGCCTTTGTGCAAAACCAACTGCACTTTTTGAAGGGCCGAATACAGAGATGTAGTGCACTACGTGCCACGAGGTCCCCAAACAACCTTCCGCAGGTTTTGAATTCAGAGGTGACTATCTCCTACACCAGTTGCCATCCAAGGCTATAGAACCCAATCTGTCCTGGAGGGAGAAGAAGAGGTTCATACCTTTCCCAAGCACATAAGTGAATGTAATGGATTCGACTGGAAATCTCCGAGCCCTCAGTCCGCTACCCACTACTCCACCGTGTCTCATATATATATATATATATATATATATATATATATATATATATATATATATACGTATGTATGTATGTGTGTGTGTATGTGTGTGTGTGTGTATATGTGGCGTATTATATTTAAAGATTACTGAATATAAGTCTTCAAGGAGTTTTTCTTTCTGGCCCAAAGTGAGCAAGTAAATAAGTTTTGAAAAAGACTCGAAACTATCAATTTTTAGGCGATTATTCGAAATTCAGAGAGTGAGCCTAATTTTTTACCTATTGGTTCATATTTAAGCCATGTATTTGGTAAATTGTTCTTTTGACGGAGTGGGTCTTTTTATGCTTCTGCAAGTGATGCAGTCGCCTTATTTAAGTCCCCGTCGACAGAGCAATGCAAATTTCACTATTTTCTTAACCATAAATGTTTGTGTACAGTTTTTTCTTGAATATTAAACTAAACAAATTCTATTCATCATTGAGTAATCATAGTTTTATCATAGTCAGCATAAAATTATATTTTAATTACTTCACCAGAAAATAAAAACTGCATAGAGATCGCCAGCTGCAAATATTCAGTAGGCAGAAATTTCGCCTATTTATATGTTGGGGTACATGTTGAGTATGGCACACAGGTGCTATAGTTATGGCCAAAACATTAAAACTAGCCAATATTTAAAAAAAAATTAAACCGTACAATGATCTGCCGTCGACGTATACATACCATCTCATAGACATCATGAAATGCCAATCACTAATATTTGAGTTATAAACTAACTAGCGCTTAGTGCTATTTCCAAACTAGCTCAAAACGAGCCAGCACAGCCTAGCAACAACGCTACAACCATGCAGCAGTGAGAGTGTTAAGAATATCTAGTAACCTGACGCCGGAAATAAAACCTCAAACCACTCGACAGCCATAAATGAACCTTCGTCCAATTGAGCAACGTTGATTTGTGTAATATTGTTCTAGTTACATTGAGCCTCTACCTCAAAACGGAAGAGCTGGGATCCACGAAAAGTTTGAAACAATAACTGATTAAATATTAAAAATAAATAAATAGCAGAAACACGTAGCGCCATATGTAATTATGAAATGAACAATTGATAATTGATGTCCTTTCCAGTACATCCGGGTTGGATTTAACTGCCCGCCCACACAAAAGTAATATTGCACAAGACCGAGCTTAAAGTGGGTGTTCCACGCATACATCAGTCTAGAGACAAAAATTGCTCACGCTCCTTTAGTATTTACCCTTTGGCGACACCTCAGATGCTAAGGATTCATCCTAGTCTTATTCCGAAGGAAGGGGTACTGTTTAGGGGCACCGTACCCTGGAGCATCAGGTACATCAGAGTTATTTAGTTACAGCGTTATTAACAGATTATGAGCTATAATGAAGCAGACGTTATTTAAAATACAGGGTGTTTAAAAAAATTTGATATCCTTTGAGATGTAAATATCACAGAAAATACATGATTAAGGCAAATGAAATTAAAAAAGTATTAATGTTGAAGATCATAAGATTTATTCTTCCAAATCTGAATGAGAAATTCAAAAGCATGTGGATTATGTGAACACACAAAACGCCTTTTCTCTTCTAGTAAATAGCATTTTTATACCTGTAAAGAAAAAGATTAAAGATTAAATAACATAAAAATACAAATAAGAAAAACACAAAAACATAAAGACATAAAAACATAAAACAAACATTAAACATAAAGATGCTATTAAAATTTGAAGTCATTTGAAGGAGATCTAACAAAGTTATTAGATTGCGAAATGATATCAAATTTTTTGAAACACCCTGTATATTTAAGTAGAACCATTTTACCAGATAGTTACGCTGGGAGTATTTTCTCTGTAAAATTTTGCGGATAGGGCAGACAAAATTTGTCAAATAATAACCACCCAACTTCAACTAGAGTGTTCAGCGGCAGTTGTAACTCCTGATTCTATATAAAGTTGGTTGTTGCTCCGTGTATGTCTATATCCGGCGGCAAGGCCTTTGATCGGAAGATTGGAGGTTTTGAGGAGCGGGAAACAACTTCTTAACTGCTGTTTCTCCTAGGTCCATCCTGGCCCGTGATGGTAGCACCTGTTAGGATCCCAGCAATGGGCTGATAGCGAACCCCCAAACAATAAACAAAATACTATTAGGTTGATGCAAAAATAATGACGTCAAAAAACGACATTATTACGTCATTATTTTGCACCAACCTAATATTACCGTATTTACATTCTCCATAATCTAATTTTTTTTAACAAGAAAACATTTTCGGATATTATTAATTGATAATTAACTGTTTTGAAAGCATCAAGGAAAAAAAAATTCATCGTAAATGGATTAAAACAAGAAAGAGTTTTTTTTTTTTAACTTTTGTCGATGGAAGAGATTTATTCAGATAATTACATAAACTACACCCAGCAAGAAGGTCTCAGATCGGGAGATTGAAAGTTTTGAGGGGAGCGAAACCACCTCGTAATTGCTGTTGTTCCTATGCCGACTCTGAGTCGGGGTGATTAGCGACATTTAGGGTCCCAGCTATGGACAAATAATGAACCCCCAATCAAAACACTATGAATGTTTAAAATATATATTTTTTTATAGTAACATACCAGCAATACATATTTATAGTAAGATGACCAACAATACATTTTAAAAAGAAAATGACCAGCAGTATGTTTTAGCTATAGTTGAAGGTATACAATTATGTTCAAAATATATTTAGTTGAAACCATAAAATTATATCAGTGGCAATTCCAAAAACATTGTGATGTGTCACTGGAGAATAGGCCAATCTTTAGGTATGAATTATATTGACCATGTTTGAGATATTTTGGATCAAGTTATAAACAAAATACCCAGAAAATATTCTAAGAGCTATGTGTTACATATTCTGAATGCTGCTTGTTTGAATATTTCATATGAGAAACAAACAAATTTGATAAAATAAATCCATAACAGAGTAAAAATCACTGACTGTAAATCCACCAAATTTTAATTTGCATAATAAAATATTCTCGAAGTTAGTTAAAGGCTCTTATTTGAAAACATGTATTTATTTACCTTTACAATGAAAAGGAAACAAAAAATCAGTATCGAAAATAGGTTCCTAGATGATATTATGCAACACAAGTTCCTATATTTACATTTGGCATAATCTAATTTTTTAACAAGAAAACATTTCCGGGTATTATTAATTGATAATTAACTGTTTTGAAAGCATCAAGGAAAAACATTTCATCGTA